GGCAGACTTACTTCTTTTGCAATGACATGAAAGAATACAGCAACACCTGAGCCTCATTCAGATTGAAGCCAGTATAAAGATACCATAGAATATCAGAACAAGGGGATGCCATCAGATCTTGGTTTGTTTGTACCTTAATTGCAGTTACTCATATTGCTTTTATAGCTGTTAATAACAAACATCTATCAATCTCAGTTATGAAATTTTGTATTGATCGCCAACTTCATGAACATTTTGAGACGGAAAATACCAGATTTTAACCACCCCAACCCCTTAGTGTGAAGAAATGCTTCCTGCTATCATGTTCGATTGGCCTAGCTCTAATTGTAAGGTTTACTCATGACACTGAAGGGACAGCGATACATTTCTTAGTCAGGATGGCAAGTGGCTTGGAGGGGAACTTGAAGGTGGCGATGTTCCCATATATCTGCTGCCCTTGTCCTTCTAAAAGGAAGTAGTCATGAGTTTGGAAGGTGCTGTCTGCGGATCTTTAGTGAATTTCTGCAGTGCATCTTGTAGATAGTACACACTGCTGCTACTGAGTGTTGGTGGTCAAGGGCGTTTTTGTTTTTAAATGTGTTCTTCAGATGTGGGCATCACTGGCTAGGCTGGCATTTATTGCCCATTCCTAATTTTCTAGAGGTAAGTAAGGAGTCAACCACTTTGCTGTGGGGTCTGGAGTCACATGTAGGCCAGACCAGGTAAGGGTGGCAGATTTCCCTCCCTAAAGGACATTAGCCAATCAGATGGGTTTTCACAAAAATCAACAATGGTTATAATTAGACTAAAACTTCGTTCCAGAATTTCATATTTCATCATCTGTCATGGTCAGGTTAGAACCCAATGCCTCCATTACATTAACTCAGGATTACTAGCCCAGTGATGGTACCACTTCACTATCCCACACATGGATGCAGAATGGTAGTGAATGGGGGTGCTAAGCGCGCTATAATGTCCTGGACAATTTTTCATGTGTTTTTGGAGCTGTACTCATCCAGGCTACAGTCAAGAAAGCATTTCCTCAGGAGGCGAAGGAAATTTGGCATGTCCGTAAGGACTCAACCAACTATTATAAACGCACCATAGAAAGCATTCCATCAGGATGCCTCATGGCCTGGTACGATAAATGCTCTGCCTAGTGCTGTAAGAAACTACAGAGGGTTGTGAACACAGCCAACCTTCCATCCATTGACTCCATCTCTCTTTCCCACTGCCTCGGGGAGGCAGCCAACATCGCCAAAGAACTCTCTCACCCTGGTTAGAATCTCTTCCAACCTCTTCTGAGGGGCAGAAGATATGAAAGCTTAAACACACATACCACCAAATTCATGAACAGCTTCCTCCCCGCTGTTATTTGACTTCTGAATGGAAGTCTCAAATTTTAAATTTAACGTTGATCGCGTTCTTTGTGCTCCATCTCTGCAGCCATAACATTGTATTCCTCGCTCTGTTCTATTACTCTAATGCACTTTGTATAAGATGATCTGCCCATACTGCATGCAAAGCAAAACTTTTCACTGAAGCTAGGTACACGCGACAATAAACCAAATTAAATACTCCATCACATACCTGACTTGTGTGTTTTGGTACAAGTTATTAAGAAATCTGGCAATGTAAAACTAATCTCAGAAATGGTGACCATGAACCCTATTGTCAATTGTCACCAAAACCCAGCTGGTTCCCTCCCTTCAGGGAAGGAAATCTGCCACCCTGACCTGGTCTGGTCTACATGTGACTTCAGACCCACAGCAATGTGATTGAACTCTTCAGAGCAATTAGTGATAGGCAATAAGCGACAACAACATCCCATGAACGAATAAATATTAGAAAAGAATGGCAGGCAGGTCTTGGGGGTGAGGGGTGTGGTGGTGTTGGTCAGACAATGACTTATTTGCCATGAAATTCCAGCCTCTGTCCCACTCCTGTAGCTTGATAATTACATGACAAGTCCAGCTCAGTTTCCAGTCAATCGTGAATCAAGGAATGTGGGGGATTCAGTGATGATAATACCATTGAATGTCAAGTGTGGGTGGTTAGATTTTCTTTTGGTGGAGACAAACATTACCTGGCACTTATGTGATTTGAATAAGTCAGTCCAAACTTGAATATTGTCCAAATCTTGTTGCATTTAAGAGTGAGATAGATAGGTTCTTGATTATCAAGAGGATCAAGGGTTATGGGGAGAAAGCAGGAGAATGGGGTTGAGGAACTTGTCAGCCATGATTGAATGGCGGAGCAGACTCGATGGGCCGATGGGCCGAATGGCCTAATTTCTGCTCCTATGTCTTATGGTCTTATGGTCATTTGAACATGGACTGCTTTAGCATCTGAGGAGTCGTGAATGGTGCTGAACACTGTACAGTCATTGGCGAACATCCCCACTTCTGATGAACTGAGGCTCTTGTACCGGTGGTGCCCGTACCTTTGGCCAAGGAGGTCCAGGTTCAAGTCCCACCAGAGATATGCAATATCTATGAATGGGTTTATTCGAAATTATCTACTGTGAGGAATTCCTGCAGCGATGCCCTGAGACTGAGATGATGCATCTCCAACCACCACAGCGTCCCCATGATTTAACTCTCACCCCATTACCTTGATAGATCTGTGACGCTTTCAGGCGATCCTCCTCCAGATGATTTGCTGTCCAAAGGAATAAGGCTCCTCTAACAACAGCAACGAAAGGGCACAGCAGGAAGGCATGTTCCAGGCTCACAAACTTCCAAAAGCTGGAGGCTGGACGGGTCTTCTGGATAGCATCGGAGATCTGCGGAGAGGCCAGTCACAAAAATCAACCATTTACTGCACAAAGGCCTGTCCAGCTCTTCCTACTGAGGCCTAAAAACACTCACGGCTGCCCTCCTCCGTGATTCACCCCACCCTGTACATAAGATGTTTGGGTTTTATGGGTTGGGGGAGAACTTTGCTCCTGCTTAAAAGTTGGGGCCCAATTGTCCCATTTAAGTGTAGTCCCCCTCTGGTAACCATGTGATAAACTAATAATTCTCTGGTCCCCAGGATGGCCATTGCTGGGATTCCATGCAGTCACCAACAATGATTATCAGGGAGAGAGAGAGAG